TCCATTTTACTAGAGTGCTTTTTTGTTTTGTTTTTGATGCTGGTCCTGGGGCTTGAATTCAGGGCTTCAGCACTATCCTTTAGCTTTTTTTCATTCAAGTTTGGTGCTGGTGCTCTACCACTTGAGCCATAGCTCCACTTCTGGCTTTCTGGTGGTTAATTGGAGATAGCCTCATAGACTTTTCTACCCTGGCTGGCTTTTAACTTCAATCCTCAGATCTCAGACTCCAGAGAAGCTAGAATTAAAGGCATGAGCCAGTAGTGCCCAGTCAGAGTGCTCTGTCTGTGAGTGTTCCTCAGGGGAATCTCTTGGCACTGGCCTTTCTGTGATATTTTATGTGAGCACTGGCTTACTTTCTCAGCACCTCTGTGGGGGTGTATATTCTCCTCCTGTGCCCCTCCTATTCCTTAGGATGCGGAAGGGAGAGCTGTTTGACTATCTCACGGAGAAGGTGGCTCTCTCAGAAAAGGAAACAAGGTAAGGGCAGAGCCTGCAGCCCCTGGGATGAGTTGGGGGTAACAGTTGGGGTGAGGAGAAGCAGAAGAGATTGCACCTCCCCCAGGTCCATCATGAGGTCTCTGCTGGAAGCAGTGAACTTTCTCCATGACAACAACATTGTGCACCGAGACCTGAAGCCTGAGAATATTCTCCTAGATGACAATATGCAGATCCGGGTTTCAGACTTTGGGTTCTCCTGCCACTTGGAACCTGGCGAAAAGCTTCGAGGTGAGGGATCCAGGTCCCTAAGAAGCTGGGGAGGGATCAAGACTCAGCCTGAAGTTGTTTGGCTGGATCTGAGCACTGAGTCCCAAACACTGCAAAGTATCTTCTGGATTCAAAGCCTTTTGTGCAACTCAGTGCGCTGCCTGATCTGGGAGGATGGAGTCAGATGGGTACTCAGCTGGCAAAGGGAAGCTAGAAGGAAAAAGCTCACTGATTGAACCTGAGAGATACACAGAGGAGGGACCTCTGTGGCTGGGCTTGTCCCAAGAGGGAGGGCTCAGCAGCATGTTTGGGGTCTATATAAGACCACAGTGTGCCTTTTCAGTATTGTGAAGACCCGGATCAAGTCTAGATAACCTGATGTCACTTCTTACCAGGGAGCTGAAGACAGCCTCACCCAAGGTTATGGCAAGAAGTAGTTCCAATGCAAATGGGAAATCTTGAGCAAAACTCAACTGTGAGAATCTTTTGAGCTTTTATTTGTGCTGCTAACAGGGCTTGAACTCAGGGCAATGTGTTCTCCTTTTTTTATTCATGGCTTGAATTATACCACCAGTTCAGATTTGTTTTGCTTAATTAATTGGAGATAGCTTTTTATTTTTTATTTTTTTGTCAGTCGTGGGGCTTGAACTCTGGGCCTGGGTGCTGTCCCTCAGCTCAAGGCGAGTGCTCTACCACTTGAACCACAGCACCACTTCTGGTTTTCTAGTAGTTTATTGGAGATAAGGACTTTCCTGCCCAGGCTGGCTTTGAACTGTGATCCTCAGATCTCAGCCTCCTGAGTACCTAGGATTATAGGTGTGAGCCACTGGCACCCAGCTGTAGATAGATAGCCTTTTGAACTGTTCTGCCTTGGCTGGCTTTGAACTGAGATTCCCTGAGGATCTCAAGTTTAGCTTCCTCAGTACAGTAGCTAGGAGTGCAGGCATGCATCACCATCACCCACCCAGCTTCTCAGAGTTTTTGGTATTCTATCTGTCCCTCAGTGGCTTTATTGGATCTATTAGTAGTTTAGCTATACAAGACACTGATGTAGACAACCACACCAAGCCTTTTACATTCTGCTTCTGTAAGTCTTCTCAATAACACTTGGAGATCAAATTTGTATTTTTCTAGACGTATCTTGTTTTAAAGCTATAAGATGACTTGTCCAAGGTCATTCTGTCAGAATTTGAACTTAGGCAGTCTGAAGGAAGCTCATACTATTCATCTATGGATTCACGAATGCTATGTTTTCTTATTTCTCTCTGGGCTCCACATTTTCCTCCTTGTAGAATCATGTCTACTTTGCCTCCTCCACTGCTTTCCTTGGCGTAAGTGATGTAGCCCTCTGCTTTTTGTTCTTATATATAGTCTTCCTTTATGACCTGCATCTTACTCTATTATTGTTAGCTTTTTGGAAGACAGTGAGCTCAGTAAGAGCATATTCACTACTGAGTCTTTAATAGAGTTCATGGTACATTCAATAAATACTTGGTGTAGGAATAAAATTCCCAAGAATGTAATGGCTTTCCCAAGAAAGCCCTTTTTTTTTTCTTTTTTTTTTTTTTTTTTTTGTTGTGGGGCTTGAACTCTGGGCCTGGGTGCTGTCCCTCAACTCTTCAGCTCAAGACTAGCATTCTACTGCTTGACCCACTTCTGGTTTTCTGGTGGTTTATTGGAGATGAGTCTCAGAGACTTTCCTGCCCATGCTGGCTTTGAACCTCAATCCTAAGATCTCAGCCTCCTAAGTACCTAGGATTACAGGCGTGAGCAACTGGCGCCCGGCAAGAAAGGCATTCTTAATTTAGGCCTGTTAACATTTCCTGGGAGTGTGCCATGGGACAGTTTGGAAATTACTAGGATGGAAGAATTGGTGCTTTTTTTTTTTTGGTCATGGGGCTTGAACTCTGGGCTTGGGTGCTGTCCCTGCGCTCTTCAGCTCAAGGCGAGCGCTCTACCACTTCAGCCACAGTGCCACTTCTGGCTTTCGAGTGGTTTATTGGAGATAAGAGTCTCACAGAGTTTTTCTGCCCGGGCTAGCTTTGAACCGTGATCCTCAGATCTCAGCCTCCTGAGTAGCTAGGATTATAGGCGTGGCCACCAGCGCCCAGCAGAATTGGTGCTTTGAAGTGGTAGAAGAAACTAAAACATACAGTATTTGATCAAGTCATAGAAAGCGCAGGGCTTTATGAGCCTACACTTCATACTGACACCAAGATGGGAAATCTGAATCTGAATCAGGGGAGGGTTTGATTTTGGTTTATTTTTGTCAGTCATGGGGCTTGAACTCAGAGTCTATACTGCCCTGAGGTCCTTTTGCTCAAGGATAGTGCTCTAATGCTTTCAGCCACAGCATCACTTCCAGTTTTCTGTTAATTGGAGATTAACTTTCCTGCCCAGGTGGCTTTGAACCCTGATCCTCAGATCTCAGCCTCCTGCGTAGCTAGGATTTCAGGTGTGAGCCATCAGTACCCAGCTAAGGGAGGGTTTTAAACAAGGCCTTACCCAGTATGTTCTTTAAAAAGTCCCACAATTCCACTTAGTTCTTCCATATTACAGGGCAGAAAGGAATGTAAAAAATAAAATTGCCTTCCCATATGTATTACATATGTAATGAGGGGGTAGGTGTACTGAGAGGTTCTCTACAGTAGCCTGATCAGTGAGGGGCCTAGCTAGGCAAGGGGGTAATAAGGTTAGACCTTGACTCTTCCTTTTGGTAGACTCTCCTTATGAGTGGTAGAGCTGGCTTGACTGGGAAGTTAAAGGAGGCAAATGATATGGTTGGGTAGGACCAGGCATTGCTAGGAAGTCCACTAGGGGCCATAGGCAGCATTTGGGTTGTTTACAGGAGTAGTGGCTAGTTCAGAGGCTTGCAGGACACAAGCAGGAACAGAATCATAACACGGGACAGCAGTGTTGAGGAGGCTCCAGCAGAGATCTGGTGCTAAGAGTCCTGGAGAAGGCTTGTTGAACCCCTTCAGTCTCTGCTCTCTCTCCCCAGAATTGTGTGGAACCCCAGGGTATCTAGCTCCAGAGATCCTTAAATGCTCCATGGATGAAACCCACCCAGGCTATGGCAAGGAAGTTGACCTGTGAGTTTCTGGCATCCCTCTCTCTCCTCTGTGTGTACTGTCCTTTATATTTGCCTGTTACCTAATCCTAATCATGGTCTCTTTCTCAGCTGGGCCTGTGGGGTGATCTTGTTCACACTCTTGGCTGGCTCACCACCATTCTGGCACCGGCGCCAGATCCTGATGTTACGCATGATCATGGAAGGCCAATACCAGTTTAGTTCACCCGAATGGGATGATCGCTCAAACACCGTCAAAGACCTGGTGAGCTGGGACCATAAGAGGTCCGTGGGGAAGGCCCAAGATCTGCCCCTCATGCTCTGGGGTTTCCCTTAGATCTCAAGGCTACTACAGGTGGATCCTGAGGAGCGCCTGACAGCTGAGCAGGCCCTACAGCACCCTTTCTTTGAGCGCTGTGAAGGCAGTCAAATCTGGAACCTCACACCTCGCCAGCGTTTCCGGGTAAGACATAGAGTGGCAGGGTCTACATCTGCCTATGCTGTAAACATCTCTGGGCTGGATGTTCCACTGGAGCTCACACTGCCTCCCTTCTCAGGTGGCAGTGTGGACAGTGCTAGCTGCTGGACGAGTAGCCTTAAGTACCCACCGCATACGACCGCTGACCAAGAATGCACTGCTGAGGGACCCCTATGCGCTGCGGCCAGTGCGGCGCCTCATTGACAACTGTGCCTTCCGGCTCTATGGGCACTGGGTGAAGAAGGGTGAACAGCAGAATCGGGCAGCCCTCTTCCAGCACCGGCCCCCTGGGCCCTTTCCCCTCGTGGGGACTGAAGAGGAAGCGGACTCCACTGCTGTCACAGAAGATGAGGCTGCACTGGCGTTGGGCTAGAACCTCAGCCATGAGAAGTCTCAGGAAGCACGACTCTCCAAAAGGAGGGTCTGTCAAGGTCTGGCCTCAGGACCCCCCTTGTCTAGCTAGGCCCCTCACTGATCAGGCTACTGTAGAGAACCCCCCAGTATACCTACCCCCTCAGGCCAATACTTGCAGATCAGAGCTGGAGTGGAAAGAAGCCACTCAGAATACCATGCTCAGCCTTGTCAGTACTGCGTCTGAAATAAAATCTGCTACACGCCAGGGAAAAGCAAGTGTCCCAGGTCTGCTATCTTTCCTATCTTCCACAGTGAAGCCTAGAAGGTTGCTTAGGAGAAAGGCTGAGTGTGGGGCGCTCTGGCCCAGGTTTTTATTGGTGAGAATTCTGAAGATCACTTCGTCTTGTTCTTGCCTTTGCTGGGTGGTGGCTGGTTGGGTCGCTCCAGTGCATTCAATTTGCTGTTAAGCCTGTCCTCACTGGCCTTAAGTTGTTCCTCCATCACCTGCTGGAGTTGTCCCAACTCCTTATTCAGCTGAGTCTTGATGTAGGTTTGGAGGGTACAGACCTTGTCTGCAGGGATGGAGGAGAAGTAACAAGTAGGGGATACTTGTCCCTAGCTATGGAAAAACAATCCCACAGGCTACATAGGAAGAAATATTGCTGTGACTTAGGAAATGTCAGCCCTTTTGTGAGCCACAGTTGGGCACAATGGCTATGTTGGACTTTTGGAATCAGATTCTAGAAGGCATTATCACAGCACCACTCCCTGCAGCATCAACCTCTTCTGGAATGACCAGCTGCTGGTCCTGGTAGCTTAATAGCTACCTGACTAGCTATTTGGCCTTAGGCAGGTTAGTGATCTTCTCCACTCCAGGTAAAATGTGGTGAATAGTCTTGAGATCTAGCATGTAGGACTTGGTACACAGTGTCGCCAGATCTCTGTTGGTATTGTTGATGGTTTTCTAATCATCCTCTTCCTGGAGCCACCTCTTTTGCCCTACCCCCTCCCAGAAGCAGGTGCTCTTATTTGTCACTGTGGACTTCTGCATTAGGAATCAGAGAGGACACTGAAAAGTTGCACATCCGTTTTCACAATGGCTCTGAGTTACAGGGTTCCCTGACACCCCTTGTACTCACTTGTCTTTTGCTCTAGCTCCACTTCTTCCTCTGGTTCTTCTGCCTCTGGGATAACTGGCTCTTCCTCCACCTCCTCTTCACCGCTGCCTTCTTTTGCTGTAAGCCAGAAGCGGGAAGAGGCATTGGCCCCAGCCATGGCCTAGCCTCTGCCCTTCTACTCTGGTACACATCTTACCCTCTAGCCAGGGCTTACACGGCTCTAGCCCTACGTAAGCCAAAGAGAGATCCAGCCGCACCTAGAAAGAGACAGGAAAGAGGAGGCTAAGAGGAAGCTAAGAGAAAGGCACCTGCCCTGAGGGAAAAGGAAAGATAGAGGGGCTGGGAAGGTGGCTCCGTGATGGAGTGCTTGTCTTGCATGCATGAGGCCCTGGGTTCGATTCCTCAGCACCACATAAGCAAAAAGAAAAAAGCCAGAAGTGGTGCTGTGGCTCAAGTGGTAAAGCACTAGCCTTGAGCTGAAGAGCTGAGGGACAGCGCCCAGGCCCAGAGTTCAGGCCCCATGACCGGACTCAAAAAAAAAAGGAAAAAGGAAAGATAGAGACAGCCTCTTGCAAGCCCATTGCCAGTACCTGGGGTGTGAAGACGTATTTGTAGAGCTTGAAGTGGCGGAAGTAGGTGTTGACCACATAGTCGGCTAGTGCCAGCAGCTGTTCCTCCTTAAAGAGGTCAATGCTGAAGGGAGGGCGCTGTGGTTAAGGACTAGGAGTTAGAGTGTCAATAGCTTCCTGAAGCCTGGCCCTTTTTCTAAAAACCCAGCTATCTAGGAGCAGGATGATGGCCTTCAAAGAAGCATGATGAGCAGGAAATTAGGTTAGACCCTGTCTGGGAAAGGGTGATGGGTACTCCAGGGTACTGACCCTGACTCCATGGCAAAAAAGAACACTGGTAAAGTAGCGGTAGCATTCCTCCACGTTGCCCAAAGGGGTTGCTGGTAGGGAAAGCAAGGTGCAGCCATGAGTTCTTCTCCCTCTTTTTTTAATCCCTTCATCTCTTAAACTTCAATGTGAGCTTCAATGGTTGACAGAGCTAAGCTTAAAGTCTGGTTTGTTCCCTCAAACTGACTTAACTGACCCTTGCTACATACTGTTTGAGGCACTCAATAAGACAAAGTCCTACCTTTAGGAAGCTTATATTCTAATGGAATGATAAGTAAACCAGGGAATAATATTTCAGCTATTATCAAACATCCTCAAGAGGGAAAATACAAAAACTATTTTATTGAGCACAATGGCAGGCATTTACATATTCCTCAGAACAGTCCCACAAAGTTAGTGCTGTGTAACTTATTGATAAGAAAACAGGATTTCAAAGGCAATAACTGGCATGCAATAACACTACTAGTAATGGCGGAACAAAGATTCAAGGTGGTAATCTCCCTACTTCTGCCCATGGTCATTTGTGCCAGCCCAACTTGGAACTCAAAACTTTCTGGTAGCCACCTCCCTCTCACCAACACAGGCCTTGTGAAGATCTTGGAGCATGGCACAAGCCGCTGACATCTGCTCTAGTGAGAAGCCCTGCTGGCGGCAGAAGATGAGTGCGTAGAAGAAGAGGTCCAGGGTGATGGCATCCCGCAGGCTCTGTTGAGGACTGCCAAGCTCCAAGAGCTCAGCCAGTACCCTTGGGAGGGAAAGGAAGGAGTGACAAGTCATTACCCTACATTCATCACATCTTCCCTCCCTAAAAGCTTTCCCTGCCCCCTCCCTGTATAGTCCCATACTCCCTCATCTCCTCTAGGGTGGTTGTCTTCTCCAGCCTTTGCATGGAATGAATATCCAGATATTTCCTGTCAGGTGAAAAGGAGAAACAGAATCGATGGCTAGTATACAAATGTTTCATAACAGGACTATCTGGTTACTACACCATCAGACTGAAAATCAGGAGGATCTGTTTTAAGGTTGAGCTTTTTGATAACACTGTGTTTAACTTTTGGCAAGTTACTTAGCTCTGTGGGTTTCATTTGAGTAAATGAGGGATGTGGCCTAGATGATACCTAAGAATTTTCTCCATTTATAAAGTGTATAGCTACGGGCTGGGAAAGTGGCTCAGTGGTAGAGCGCATGAGGCCCTGGGTTCAATTCCTCAGCACCACATAAGCAAAAAGAAAAAAAGCCAGAAGTGGCACTGGGCTCAAGTGGTAGAGCGCTAGCCTTGAGCTGAAGAGCTGAGGGACAGCACCCAGGCCCAGAGTTCAGGCCCCATGTCCTGACCCCCCCCAAAAAAAAAAGTGTATAGCTAGGAAGTGAGTTACTGTCTCTACAACTATTTTGCTGTATGATCCAGGTGAAATCTCTACTGTGGACTCATTTACACCCTCAGTCCTTGTCTGTTTGCTCTCATTACTACTTGAGACTGAGGAGTCTGGGAAAATGTAGAATTGCAACTGTGAGCCTCAGTCTCATCTGTAAACTGGGACTGCTCTGGACAGGACTGGTTGGTGTGGGGGAGGGAGGGTCACTAAAGGAATAATGCATGTATGAAGTGTAACTTTTCCCCAAAGTTCTTCACACTCACCACATGCAGATGCCAGGCTGGGGCAACGGTGGCTGTGGAAAGAAGGCGAGTTGATTGAGGTGCTTGGCCCCTATGGGTTGTGAAGTTCCAGTGGAGCTAAGCACTACCTGCTTTCTCATTTCTGGAACTACAGGACAAAGAGGATAGCACTGGGTTTCACAAGCCCTAAGTATTATTTATAGTATTTTAACAATCTGATCACACACACCCTTACCTCATTTTACCAGAGTGATTGGAGAAAGCTCCCGAATTAAGTTACTAAATGTAATGAAACCTGGCAGGTGTTTGTTTGGGCATAAAAACCAAGGGCCCTTGGAAGTGGCGCTGTGGCTCAAGCGGCCAGCGCTCGCCTTGAGCTGAAGAGTGCAAGGACAGGGCCCAAGCCCAGAGTTCAAGCCCCACGACCGACCAAAATCAAAAACAAATCAAAAACAAAACCAAGGGCCCTGCACGTTGTCCCTGGGCGTTTTTGCTCAAGGCTAGCGATCTACCATTTTGGCCACAGCTTCATTTCTATCATTTTCCCGGTCAATTGGAATCTCATGGACTTTCTTGCCCCGGGCTGGCTTCGAAACAGCGGTCCTCAGATCTTAGCCTCCTGAGTAGCTAGGATAACAGACGTGAGCCCCTGGGCACCCGGCCAAGGGTGAGGCTATTATAAACATTCACGAACGGATCGCTGCGTCCTGCTCTCACCGGGAACAAGTTGGCTGTAGGGTCGTCCTTCCCCACAGAGGCGGAGGCCGCGGTGACCGAATCGCTCCGTGTCCCCGTTCTGCTCCTCATGGTTAATCCACTCACTGAGCTGCGACCCTTCTCTAATTCCCGCTGCAGTTCAGAGAGGTGTTCAGACTCCGATGGCACCCTCATTCCTAGGACGTGGCTGGACTTAGAGCTAATCATCTTGTCCTCGGTGCAGAGACTCCCAGGGCCAGGTTTGGAGTACAGATCTCCCGCAACGACTGCTAAGTCCTGGCGCGCCCGCGATTCTCAGCCAATCAATGCGGCCCTGGGGGTGGACGCAGCCAATCCGCGGTGGGGGCGTCTTTCCGCCCTCCTCCGTGGTGACCGTTGCTAGGGGGGCTTTGGAAGGAAAAAGGACAGGAAGAAGGAAGGTAACAATTTCAGACACGGAGAAGATACGCGTATTCGTAATAAGATGCAAGTGCCCACCTAGATGCCCCCTTGAAAGGTGCTGTTAGCAGGGCTGGTTCCGTGCTCAGGGAGGGAAAGCGGAGTGTGGTGACAGTTACTATGGAAACCACCCTCTGGCCAATCACTGAGAGAAAATAGAGGCGTTCAGGAAGAACTCACACGACTCGACCAGAGGAACCCAGCGCGACCAATAAAAACAGGAAATGGAGGCGTTTCGCCACATCCGGTACCGCCTCCGGCGCCTGCGCCGTAGTCCTGGGAGGCCGGCGACGTCCGGTGAAATCCAAGATGGCGGCGCTCGGTTGAGTGTGCTGTCGGTGAGGCCCCGGGGCCCACGGAGGCTGAACTCCGCAGGTGTGCGCAGCGGAGGCGCTTCGGGGGTTCAGAACACCGGCCACTTCCACGTCTCTGTTCTCTGTCTCTTCCAGGTGACAGAAGTGTCGCCCCCGGCCTCCTGACGCCCCGCGAGGGACCTTGCGCCGCTCCTCGCCATCGCAATTATGTCTGGGCCCGGCAACAAACGCGCCGCCGGCGACGGGGGCTCAGGGCCCCCTGAGAAGAAGCTGAGTCGCGAGGAGAAGACTACAACCACTCTAATTGAGCCCATTCGGCTTGGGGGCATCTCTTCCACGGTTCGTGGGCTCTTGCTAAAATGCCATATTTCTAGTCTCCACCCACATTGTCCAGAATCTTGCTGCCAGTTTTCCAAGCTTAGCAAGGTCCGCTTTACAGCACATAACAAGAGCTTGATAAACAGGACCCCAGAAAGCCTGTGACTTTTGTAAAAACAAAACAAAACAAAAAGACTTCAGAGTTGCAAAGGCAGAGAGGCGGAAGCAGAAAACTAGCCTTCTCTTGTGTCTGAGCCTCCTTTAATCCTCTCTTCTATCCCTTCCAGTTGCTCTTCTCTGTCTCTAGGTTTCTGAATCTTGCTTGAAAATGTCCTGGGCCCTTCTTGTTTTCTGTCGTAGGAGGAGATGGACTTGAAGGTTCTGCAGTTCAAGAACAAGAAACTAGCGGAGCGGTTGGAACAGCGTCAAGCCTGTGAAGACGAACTCCGAGAACGAATTGAAAAATTGGAAAAGCGGCAGGCCACAGATGATGCCACTCTCCTAATTGTCAATCGCTACTGGGCCCAGGTGGCTTGTTTTCCACCATCAGCTGCAAATTCTCAGCCCTTCTGATCAAAGAATGTCACGTTGGAAATGAATGAGAGATTCATAACCTTTCTGATGCTTTCTCCCTTCAGCTGGATGAAACTGTGGAAGCCCTTCTCCGATGCCACGAGAATCAGGGGGACATGTCTGCAGGGACAGAGCCACCTGGGGCCCAGGAGGGACCTACTCGCGATGTGATCCCTCTCACAGAGCCAGGGACTTCGGATCTAAGGGGTAGGGCAAATCTTAGGAACTGGAGAGTTTATTTTCTGGGAAAGGTCTTGGAGAGGAGGTGGCCTTTGAGGACAAATTCCTAAATCCCCCACTCTACCTGCAATCTCTGAACAATGATTTCATGTTTGGGAATCAGTAAAGCACGGTAGGTAAGAATAAAAGGACTTAAGAGTCTAACTTGATTCAGAATGTTATTCATATTAATACTCGAATAGTGCTAAAAGAGTAAATGTATTTGATACTGTTCTAAACTTAGCCAGATGAGAGTCAAGCAGAAATATTGTTCATGTCACAAGGGAGGAAATTTTTATTTATTTTGGGGGGGGGTCCGGTCATGGGGCCTGAACTCTGGGCCTGGGCGCTGTCCCTCAGTTCTTCAGCTCAAAGCTAACGCTCTACCGCTTGAGCCAAAGTGCCACTTCTGGCTTTTTTTCTTTTTGCTTATGTGGTGCTGGGGAATCGAGCCCAGGGCCTCAGGCATGCAAGGCAAGCGCTCTACCACTGCGACACCTTCCCAGCCCCGGGAGGAAATTTTTTAAAAAATAGTTTTATTGCTACTGTTAAGATTTTTTTCTCCTGTTGTGGGGCTTGAACTCAGGGCCTAGATGTTATCCTTGAGCTTTTTCACTCAAGGCTAGCACTCTCCCACTTTCCGCCACAGCACCAGTTGCAGCTTTCTGGTGGTTAATTGGAGATAAAGAGTCTCATGGACTTTCTTGCCCCAGCTGGCTTTGAACTGTGATCCTCAGATCTCAGCCTCCTGAGCAGCTAGGATTATAGGTGTGAACCACCAACATCTGGCCTGGAGGAAATTTTTATAAATCATAAAGGTATTGGGTCCCCTCAATGGGAATCAGTGTGGGATGAGTGTATGGTTGTAGTTTAGGTAGTGATTTATCATCTCTGTTCCCTTGAGAAAATTTCTTCCCTAAACAGTGGTGCCACTTTCAAGGTGCAGATAACTGCACTACAGATTTTGTTAAATGAGCCATGGAGTATTGAAGGGCTTGTTCTGGAGCTTGGTACTGGCTGGTGGTCATTGCTACTGTTATTTTCATAGGTGTCTGTTTCTCTCTCCTAGAGGCCTTGCCCATGCAACTGAGACCTCCTCTTAGTGAGCCAGCCTTGGCCTTTGTGGTAGCACTGGGTGCCAGCAGCAATGAAGAAGTGGAACTGCAGCTGCAGGGACGGATGGAGTTTTCCAAGGCAGCGGTGTCCCGAGTAGTAGAGGCGTCAGACCGCCTGCAGCGCCGGGTGGAGGAGCTCTGTCAGCGAGTATACAGCCGAGGTTAGTTCTTAGTACCCCTCTGCTAGAGTTGTCTGTCTCCACTTGGATCTTTGTGCCCATCCCTCCCCCTCTAGATTCCGCTAATTTCTCATGTTCAGGCAGTAAGCCATCTTCATGGTGGAAAGAATTAGTCTATGAGATGGGAATTCCAGCTTTCATTTATGGAATTGAACTCCAGAGAAATGGGTGGAGGAGGGGTGTGTGTGTGTGTGCACACGTGCACTGCTCCTGAAACAAGGCCTCAGCTTTGTCCTTGAGCTTTTGTGCTCAAGACTAGCTAGCACTTTACTATTTAACACATAGCTCTGTGGCTGGGAAGGTGGCTCATTGTTTGAGTGTAGAGTGCTTGCCTAAGACCTAACTCCACTTCCACCTTTTTCCTGGTTAAGTGGAGATAAGAGTCTCATGGACTTCCCTCCCCAGTTTGGCTTTGAACTATGATCCTCCAATCTCAGTCTGCTCAGTAGCTAAGATTATAAGCATGAGTTACAAGTGCCCTGCTTCCAGCTACAGGCCTCTGCAGAACATAGTGTAAACTTCAGTGGCAAGTAGTGATCCATAAGCAGAGCATAAATGCCTAGGTGACAGTCTTTTCCCAGCCTTAGTACTGCCTCCCTAGCCTGTGCTTTCTGGGAAAATAGTTCCATTTTCTGAGCTGCTTTCCTTCTCTGTGCAGTGGGGATAAAGACTCCTGGCTTTGTCATGAAAAATTGGCAAGATAGCTGGTGGATCACACTATACATAGCAGATTCCAGAATGAGTTAGTTCTTGCCCCATTGCCAAGGGCTTGGCTCTTACCTGGGCCTTGCCTTCTCAGGGGATAATGAACCCCCCAGTGAAGTGGCACGGGCACACACCCGGGAGCTGGGTCGTGAGAACCGGCGGCTACAGGACTTGGCCACTCAGCTCCAGGAGAAGCATCATCGCATCTCATTGGAGGTGGGACTTGGTTTTGAGGGGATGGAATTAGAACTGGGGCAGGGTTTGGGTTAAATGGGTACTTGTGGGTCTCAAGAAACTAAGTCTTTTATCTAAGTATCTGTTTCTCCATTGTGTCTAGTATTCTGAACTCCAGGATAAAGTAACATCATCAGAGACTAAGGTGCTTGAGATGGAGACAACAGTGGAGGACTTGAAGTGGGACATTGAGAAGCTGCGCAAACGAGAACAAAAGCTCAATAAGCACTTAGCAGAAGCCTTGGAGCAGGTAAGGCTGCAGGGCTAGGCAGATGGTGCCAGGCCTGGGCCCTAGCTTCTGCTTTTCATACCCATCTTCATATCCATGTCTCTTCCTTCCACAGCTCAACTCTGGGTACTATGTCTCTGGGAGCTCCTCAGGCTTCCAGGGGGGTCAGATCACACTCAACATGCAAAAGGTGAGCAGCAGCATGCTTTTTGCCATGTCATAGCATCATCTTTTTCTCAGCTGACATCTACCTCTGAGCCCTGTCCCCGTCACTCCTGCAGCTCTTTAATTCCCTTATTAAATAATTCCTAAACACGTAAGTGCTAGGCTCTAGGCATATTGGAGAGGACATGATAGGCTAAAACTTCCATAACAGCACAAAGAAAACACAGAGAAGAAATGAGGAGCATAGTAGAAGTCTATTGGCATTCTGTGGCCCCCACACTGTTTTCCCTTTACTTCAGCTGCTACATCTGGGTTTGTTTTTTGGGGGAAAGTGGTTACTAAAGTTTGAACGCAAGTCTTGCCAGGCTTTGCTACTTGTATTGTGCCCCTGAGTTCTTCAGTCTTAAGAACCTTAGTCCTTACTCGTGTAACTGTAACCCCTCTGTACAGCATCTTTACAATTAAAAAAGAAAGAACCTTAGTATTTGAACAGAATTTTTCTCCCACTTGTCGGGGGGTCCCTTAAGAAAGCCGTTGGCTTGGGGCTTCAGAATTTACCAGTGTCCTACACTTGGGTTGTGGGCGATGAGAACAGGTCACCCTCCTGGCTCTACTATCACAGCCTCCCCCCCTCCCCCTCCTTAGTTTGAGATGTTGAATGCAGAGTTGGAGGAAAACCAGGAATTGGCCAACAGTCGTATGGCAGAGTTGGAGAAGTTGCAGACAGAGCTTCAGGGGGCTGTGCGGACTAATGAACGCCTCAAGGTAGGCTGTGGTTGTAGGTGAGAGGATATGGGGATACAAGGTAGGGACTTAGTCTTGAATCCTCTTGCATCATTGAATCATTTGTGGCGTCTTCACTTCTAGGTGGCCTTGCGGAGCCTTCCTGAGGAGGTGGTTCGTGAGACGGGGGAGTACCGAATGCTGCAGGCCCAGTTCTCCCTGCTCTACAACGAGTCTCTACAAGTGAAGACCCAGCTGGATGAGGCTCGGGGACTGCTGCTGGCCACCAAGAACTCCCACTTGAGACACATTGAACACATGGAGGTATGGCCCTGGAATGCGTTGAGAGCCAGACCTTAAGATGGGTTATTCCTGGTTTTTGTTGTTGTTGTTGTTGTTTGTTGTAGGGCGCTGTCCCTAAGCTGTTCAGCTCAAGGCGAGCACTCTACTGCTTGAGCCACAGCGCCACTTCCGGTTTTTTAGTGGTTTATTGGAGATAAAGAGTCTTACGGAGTTTTCCTGCCAGGGCTGGCTTTGAACCGTGATCCTCAGATCTCAGCCTCCTGAGTAGCTAGGATTACAGGCGTGAGCCATCGGCACCCGGCTTTTATTCTTGTATTTGTAGGCCCTGCATGTTTGCCCAGAGTCCCATGGGCATAGATTTCTTCCTGAGGCCTGGGGTGGGGCTGAGAGTTACGAGGATCTCTTAACGCCACACCCTATAGAGTGATGAGCTGGGGCTGCAGAAGAAGCTGCGCACGGAGGTCATACAATTGGAAGACACGCTGGCCCAGGTGCGCAAGGAGTATGAGATGCTGCGCATTGAGTTTGAACAGAACCTAGCTGCCAACGAGCAGGCAGGTATGTGGTGAGACTTAATAGAGCTGGGCACTTATTTGGGGGTATTGGACCATGCTATGGGTGGGGGACAGGTGTTGCTTGTGCACACGCAAGAAGTTAAGCCCCTTGGGCTGGGAAGGTGGCTCAGTGGTAGAGCGCTTGCCTTGCATGCATGAAGCCCTGGGTTCGATTCCTCAGCACCACATAAACAAAAAGAAAGTCGGAAGTGGTGCTGTGGCTCAAGTGGTAGAGCGCTAGTCTTGAGCTGAAGAGCTGAGAGGCAGCGCCCAGGCCTAGAGTTCAGGCCTCATGAGAGGACCCCCCCAAAAAAAAAAAAAGTTAAGCCCCTTCCTTTCACAGAGCTTTAGCAACCTGGGGCAAATGAATACCCTAGAGGGCACCCAGATTTAGGATTACAGGCTAATAAGGAAGCAGACCCAGCATAACTCCTCACAACTCAGGAGCTCCTGAGTTGTTGTTTCTGGGCTTCTCTGGCTTCTGGTGTCTCTGAGATAGTTGTTTCACAAGATTTTTTTTTGTTATTGTTGGGCATGGGGCTTGAATTTGGAGCCTGGGCTGTCTCTGAGCTCTTTTGCTCTAATGCTCCACCACTTTGAGCCACAGTGCCACTTCCAGTTTGCTGCTGTTTAATTGGAGATGGGAGTCTCCCCGCCTTTCCTGTCTGGTCTGGCTTTGGACCATGATGTATTTCTCATATCTCAGCATCTTGAGTAGCTAGGGTTACAGGTATGAGCTACCGGCACCAGCCACAAGATTGATTACCATCAGTCATCTAGGCTTTCAGGTTGTGCCAGTGGATAGAACAAGGAGAATCCCTGCCATTGTGGGACAGTTCTAGTAGAAGGAAGACAGACACTAGAAGAGAAATGAAATGTGTATATTAGTAATAAAGGTATCCAAAAATATGAATCAGGAAAGGTAAATACAGTATCCAGAGAGAGGGTGTTGCAGTTTGGGATTGAATATAGGCATATGTAAAGGAGATGGTAACATTTGTCTAAGCTTCTGAAAGAAATTCATGAGCATCTGTGAATGTTAGTTAACTATTCCATTGAAGGAAATTGGGAAATATCGAAAAATCTACCTTAGCAAAAATAACAAACAGGCAATGTCACTTTCACTTTTGGATGAGTTTTCTTCAAGTCTACATTATTAAGCAAAGGTGAAACCTTTAAGGCCTCAGGTCTCCACCCTCCTGCACAGTAATAATGATGATTGGTTCAGCCTCTTTCCCTGCTGAAGTGTTGGGGCCTTAATGGGAGACCAGTGTGATAACCTTATTTCCCTCCCTTCCCCAGGGCCCATCAACCGGGAGATGCGCCACCTGATTAGTAGTCTCCAGAACCATAACCACCAGCTAAAAGGGGATGCCCAGCGATATAAGCGGAAGCTTCGAGAAGTTCAGGCTGAGATTGGCAAAGTGAGGGGGGGGGAATGCCCATGAAAGGCCCTGGCTAGACTTCGGTGAACACTGGCTTATTTCATTCCTGTTCCTTTCTCTCTTTGCAGCTCCGGGCCCAAGCCAGTGGCTCTACCCACCCCATCCCCAACCTGGGTCACCCAGACGATCCTGGCCTTAGTGCCCCAGCTCCAGGGAAAGAAGAGTGTGGTCCAGGTCCTGTAGGTACCCCTGACAGCAGAAAGGAGATGGCTTTAGTGCCTGGTGCCACCACCACTACTTCCTCAGTGAAGAAAGAGGAGCAGGTCCCCTCAGAAGAGGATGCCCAGGCCTTAACTCCTGGAGCTCAAGGCCCCTCTTCCAGGGGTCGAGAACCTGAGGCCAGGCCCAAAAGAGAACTTCGGGAACGAGAGGGGCCAGGTGTGGGAACCCCACCTGTAGCCTCAGCTCTCTCAAGGGTGGATCGAGAGAAGGCCAAATTAGAAGAAGCCAAGAGAAAAGAATCAGAACTGCTCAAAGGTCTCCGAGCGGAGCTCAAGTGAGGCCCTATTGCTATCCCTTCCTAACTCTGACAAGGGACCTGTCACCCAACATACTGAACCTGCCTCCTATACCCTTCCTAGGAAGGCCCAGGAGAGCCAAAAGGAAATGAAGCTGCTGCTCGATATGTATAAATCAGCCCCCAAGGAGCAGCGGGACAAGGTGCAGCTCATGGCGGCTGAACGCAAGGCCAAGGCCGAGGTGAGGGCAGCCAGGGTTGATGTGGTATGCTGAGAGGCATGCTGCAGGCTTCTCACCAGAGCAGGCCTAGGTCAGGAAGCAGTAACAGAGGTCCTTCCATTACAGGTCGATGAGCTAAGGAGCCGTATCCGAGAACTGGAAGAGAGGGATCGAAGGGAGAGCAAGAAGATTGCCGACGAGGATGCCCTAAGGCGCATCCGTCAGGCTGAGGAGCAGATCGAACACCTGCAGCGCAAGTTGGGTGCCACCAAGCAGGTACATTCCCCTGTAGTCCCCTTGCTTCTAATACTGGCTTTCCTAGCTTCTAATAGGTGCTTCCAGGTGTGGTGACACTTAAGTAGCTTCATCCACTCTCTATCTTTGCCACAGTTTTCTGTGGTTCTCCACCAGCATCTTGTCCACCAGCACTTTGCTCTTGTCTACCTGCAGGAGGAGGAAGCTCTGCTGTCAGAGATGGATGTGACAGGTCAGGCTTTTGAGGACATGCAGGAACAAAATGGACGGCTGCTACAGCAGTTGCGTGAAAAGGACGATGCCAACTTTAAGCTGATGTCAGAGCGGATCAAGGCCAACCAGATTCACAAGTTGCTTCGAGAGGAGAAGGATGAGTTGGGCGAGCAGGTTCTTGGCCTCAAGTCCCAGGTATAGCCATCTCAGGGAAGAGCTTGAGGGTGGAGCTGGAGAGGTAGGGCTCCCAGCACTGAGGCCCTTGTCCTCAGGTGGATGCCCAGCTGTTGACCGTACAGAAGCTGGAGGAAAAGGAGCGGGCCTTGCAGGGCAGTCTTGGTGGTGTGGAGAAGGAACTGACACTGCGTAGCCAGGCCCTGGAGCTCAACAAAAGGAAGGTGAGGTTGGTCTGTGGAGAAAGTGGTCTGGCTGGTAGCTCCCAGCCAAATCTGATACGGTCTGGAAGCCTGCCGTGCATCTTCAATCATATAGGAATGTGCTAGGTCCTGTGCCTAGTACTTGACATGCTCAGTTATATTTTAGGTTCAAAGTAATTCTACCATGATGGTGTTTGTTATCACTCTCATTTTAATTATTTTATTTTTTAATTGTGAGTGTGTGTGTGTGTTGTGCTAGGACTGGGGCTTAAACTCAGGGCCTGTGCATTATCCCTGACCTTTTTTTTTTTTTTTTTTTTTTGCTCAGGGCTTGTGCTTTACACTTGAGCCACAGCTCTATTTCTGGCTCCCCCCTACCCCTCCTCTCTCTTTGGTGATTAATTGGAGACAAATCTCACAGACTTTCCTGCCTGAGTTGGCTTCGAACCTTGATCCTCACGTCTTAAGCCTCCTCATTAGCTAGAATTATAGGCATGAGACATAGCACCTGGCTCTCACTTCCACTTTTTATTTTTTTTGGGGGGGGGGTCCAGTCATGGGGCCTGAACTCTAGGCCTGGGCACTGTCCCTCAGCTCTTCAGCTCAAGGCTAGCGCTCTACCACTTGAGCCACAGCGCCACTTCCGGCTTTTTTCTTTTTGCTTATGTGGTGCTGAGGAATCGAACCCAGGGCCTCAGGCATGCAAGGCAAGCGCTCTACCACTGAGCCACCTTCCCAGCCCTCACTTCCACTTTTAATGGAGAAACTGTGGCTCAGGGACTTGCTGAAGAAAGAACAGAGGTAGGAGTTGAGTCCATGCCATTCTCACTCCTAGATGCATGTCATATCCATTCATCCACCAAGAGACGAATGACTTAATTGGCAGTGGTGATACCTGCCGCATAATTGTATTAAGCATTCAGAAGTTGCATGTTAGTGACTCACTCCTGTAATCCTAGCTACTAAAGAGGCTGAAATTCAAAGAATTTTAGTTTGAAGCTAACCTTAGTAGGAAAGTCCATAAGACTCTTATCCCAAAATAAGCAAAAAGCTGGGATAGGTGCATGGTAGAGTACCAGCTGTGAGCAAGCATACCAAGCACACTGGAGGCTCTAAGTTGAAATCCTGCTACCAGCAACAGTAACAACAAAAAAGCCATACAAACAGAAACCTCTATCCAAGTACCAGTGGCCCACGCCTATAATCATAGCTACCTAGTAGGCTGATAATAACTGTTTGAAGTTATCCAGTAAAGGAAAGTCTTATGAACCTGTTATCTCCAACTAACAATCAAAAGGCCAGAAATGGAGCTGTGGCTCAAGTGATAAAGTGCTAACCTTCAGCACAAAAGCTCAGGGATAGCACCCAGGTCCTAAGTTCAGGATGGTCATTTGAAAAAAGAAAAGAAAACCATAGAAAACAATCTAGTTTATGGTATAGTATTCAGATTAACTTTGATTTTCATCTTACTGTGTGGCTATTTTCTCTAATTCATTCATTTAGCATTTTCTATGTCCCTGATATGTACTAAATTTCATGAAGGAGTTCCTCTCTTCTTTAAAGGCTGGGACATCTTGTCTTGAGGGGTAGATAGCAAGCTAGTAACTCCACAAATAATGGTGTTACAGATCACAGACCGTCATGTAAGGAAACTGAGGTGGTGCCTGTGTATTAGAGGAATTAAAGGGAATACAGATAATGGCCCACTGGGAGCTCAGAGACCAGGCAATGCAAAGGCCAGTTGCTCATGCCTGTAATACTAACTCCTTAGAAGGCTGAGATCTGAAAGTCAGTTCAAAGTCAGCCTAAGCAACAAAGTCCATTAGACAATCTCTCCAACTAAGCAGCAGAAAGCCAGAAATGGAGGCATAGCTCAAGTGGCAGAACAGCAGCTTTGAGCAAAAAGTTGAGCAAGAATGAGAGGCTTTGAATTCATACCCCAGTTCCAGTGCACACAGTGCACAGAATAGGAGCACACCATGAAGTGAAGAACAGTTGGGAGGATGGAGCAGGAGGAGGTACAACAGGGTCACAGAGTGCAGATGTCACCCGAATGTTTTGATGCATTAGTGTTTCGTGCCTCTGCTAACTCAGACAAATGCACTTCTCCTTCCTTCCACCCTCCTCAGGCTGTGGAGGCGGCCCAGCTGGCTGAGGATCTAAAGGTGCAGCTGGAGCACGTGCAGACCCGGCTAAGGGAGATCCAGCCCTGCCTGGCAGAGAGCCGGGCTGCCCGAGAGAAAGAGAGCTTCAACCTCAAGAGGGCTCAGGTGTGTGCCCCAGAGAGAGCAAGTGAGCTAGTGTTGGTACCTGGCAGGCACAGAGCTCCAAGATGAAGTCCCTTGTACTGAGCCTTTCCTCTCTCTGCTCCAGGAGGACATCTCTAGGCTGCGACGCAAACTGGAGAAGCAGAGGAAGGTAGAAGTTTATGCAGATGCTGATGAAATCCTGCAGGAGGAGATCAAGGAGTATAAGGTGGGGCTTCTGGTTGAGGAGTGTCACTTCAACCCAGGGATTATAGTGAGGAAGTGGGGAGGAGTTGTCATGGGTATTTTGGAGACTCTGGAGGTAAAGGTAAGGGAGGACAGCAGAAAACACTGGAGTCAGTTGGCCAAAGGCTTGTTGGTTACATGCCATGTGCCAGGTCCTGTGTGTACCCAGCTATGAAGTGGGAAGACTGAGACCCTGAGACCAACTAAGGAGAGGTGGGCGAGGTGGTCAACTAATTCTCCCATTCCAATGATGAGTGATATGATAGCAGAGACCACAGGGGTCATGGGGACACTAGGGAAGCCCTTAAATACCTGGAGGTGGAAGGATTCCTGCCAGAAATGTCACTCTAGATCGATCTGAAGAAAGAGCCATCCAGGGAAAATGGGGAGGAATGCATTTAGGGAAAAGGAAAGAGAAAATATGTGTAAAGTAATGAGAGTGCTGGACAGAGCTGGCCACTGGGTTGGAGGAGGGAATGGAGTGATTGGACAGTGGCAGATCCCAGGAGAGTGTCAGCACCTAGGTTGATCAGCTTGTCTTTTCCTGTGGGGAGTTTGGAGATTTTGAAGCATATTTCTGTCTTGGTTTTCTTTTGGGGGGCAGGGGTAGAACCAAGGGCCATATATATGCTAATAAGCACAAGCTCTACCCTAACCAGACTCCAGGCTCATCAAAGACTTAAACAGGAATGACACATGTGTTGCTGGGGTGGTGGTGTGTGTCTGTCTGTCTGTCTGTGTCTGTCTGTCTGTGTCTGTGTGTGTGTCTGTGTGTGTGTGTCAGTGTCTGTGTGTCCTGGGGCTTGAACTTGGGATCAGGGCACTGTCCCTGAGCTCTTGCCTGAAGCCTTGCAATCTGTCACTCGAGCCACAGCTCCATTTCCAGCTTTTTGGTGGTTGAGGTTAGAGTCTCATGGACTTTGAACTACAGTCCTCAGATCTCAACCTTCTGAGTAGCCTAGGAGTTAAGGTATGAGCCACTGGCGCCCAGGAAGGGATGGAAATTTTTAGACTATTATATAAGTCACTGTAGTAAAAACTAGTATTTAACTAGTTGAAGGTATTGGAGATAATAGATGGGCTCAGGAGGTACTTAGGAGACAGAATTGCTTGGACTTAGGCATAGATTGGCAACTTAATGAGGGAAGGGCAGTGCTGGGGAGACTCTTGGCTCTTGGGTTCAGTTAAATGAAGTAAAAAATGAAAAGAAAAAGAAATGAAGTGAATGGTAAGTACCCCCTTGTGAGTTAGAAAGACTGCAAGAGCAGCCCATGGCAGGCAGTGTATAAGGATGCTGAGATTGAGGTACCTAGAGGCCTTAAGAGAATGGAGGTACCAGGCGCTGGTCGCCCACACCTGTAATTCTAGCTACTCAGGAGGCTGAGATCTGAGGATCACAGTTCAAAGCCAGCCCTGGCAGGAAACTCCGTGAAACTCATCTCCAAAAAACCACTAGAAAACGAAGTAGCGCTATAGCTCAAGTGGTAGAGCACTAGCCTTGAGCTGAAGAGCTGAGGGACAGCGCCCAGGCCCAGAGTTCAAGACCCACGACCAACAAAAAAAAAGAATTAAGGGGAGAATCAGAGGCAGAGGTAAAAAAGGCACACATGACTGGTTATCCAGGCATCCAGGGAGAGTTTGTGGCATAAAAAGAGATCGTTCTCTCCCTTTAGGAACCTCAAAGCTTAAGTGACAGGCAGAGGAAGAAAAGCCTAGAGATTGGAAGGAGAGTGATATACAAGGCAGCAAATGAACTATGCCATGAGAGAAGCCTGAAGCCCTTGTGACTTGGTAGTCTTGGGGGAAATGGCTCCTGGGCTGGGAGAGGGAAGAGGTCAGTTGACTCTATGGCAGTTGGGCCTTGGAGGGACAGAGATGCTGGTGGCAAAGTCTTGAGGAATCAGGAAGAAAAATGCTGGGAAGGCTGGACACAGCTGGCATTCCAAGCAGGCCAAAGGCGTGTTGAGCTATGCTTGTTGCTAGGTAATATCTGTTTGGAGTTAAAAGACAAGCCCTTCTTGGTCTGACCTCATGGCAGGTGGGAGGTGTTGGGCTAAGAGTATAGCCACAGCAGTTTCCAGTCCCAGCAAAGATCAGCCTGGTTGAGGGTAGAAAGCACATTTCTGGTGGCACTGTGATGCCCAGCTGTGACCTCACAGGTAGACAGGATTGGAATTTTGCCGCAGAAAGCCAGTGGGGCAGGAAATGAAACTCCAGTTTCATAGTCTCAAAGGATACCTACTTCTTTCTGGTTTTGAGACCTTGGTGTTTGAGTGTCAGTGCCCTACTCTGTAGAATGTTGGTTCCCACCTGTGAGGCTATAGTGAAGACTGCTGCATCTACTATTTGGTGGGTTTTGCCTGAACTGCCTCCAACTGTCAGTTTACAGTCTGGGCACTGGGAAGTTATTCCATGCTGGGTGCTGGTGGCTCACACCTGTCATCCTAACTACTCAGAAGGCTAAGATCTTGATCTCAGAGCTAGCCCAGGCAGAAAAGTCCATGACATTGTTTTTGTTTTGTTGTTTTGTTTTTTGGGTCCAGTCGTGGGGCCTGAACTCTGGGCCTGGGCACTATCCTTCATCTCTTCAGCTCAAGGCTAGCGCTCTACCACTTGAGCCATAGTGCCTGTTCCGGCTTTTTTCTTATGTGGTGCTGAGGAATCGACCCCAGGGCCTCAGGCATGCAAGGCAAGCGCTCTACCACTGAGCCACCTTCCCAGTCACCCCATGACATTCTTATCTCCAGTTAACCTGCAAAAAATGCTGAACTGGATGGATGGTTCAAATGGTAGAGCACCAACTGTGAGCAAGAAAGCTGAGAGCACAATGTCCAGAGTTCAAACCCCAGAGCTGACTCACGCAGGCCCACGCACAATTATTCCACGGTTCATGCCTTTACCTATCCAGGCGCGGTTGACCTGCCCTTGCTGTAATACCCGCAAGAAGGATGCGGTCCTTACCAAGTGTTTCCACGTGTTCTGCTTCGAGTGTGTGCGGGGCCGATATGAGGCCCGCCAGAGGAAGTGCCCCAAGTGCAATGCAGCCTTTGGCGCCCATGATTTCCACCGTGTCTACATCAGCTGAACCTGAAATTTGGGGGACTTTTGGAAGACTCATGGACCTAAGGGGCTGCTCCTCCCCACCCCAGGTTCAGTGGCCCCTCCATTCCATACCCTTTAGCCCCAAGCCCCCCCTGTCTAGTTGGTTTGGTGGCACTGGTGCATGCTAACGGGAGTGGGATGAGCCAGGCTCAGCTCCATCCTTTGCTGAAGGGCAGAGCCGCTGCTCACGGGGCTCTCCCTGGGACCCAGAGCACTCAGCTGAGCTAGAATCTGGCCCTAATCTTGCTCCTGTTTTCCACAGACCCATCCAACCCCTAAGGAGGGATTCCCCCACCCAGGAGGAGGCTCTCTACTTGCCTACACACAGTAAGGAGCAGGAATGGGCCAAGGGCTCAGCTTCTTGCCCAAGACAGGCCCTGGGTTCCTGGGACTTTCTAAACCTACTTACCCACCAATCCTGGACAGGGCTTTGGACACTGGTGTGGCTCTTGTGCCAAGAGCTAAAGGAGCTATCCCCTGAGGGCACTGTCCTTATTTCTGGGAAGCTCTGCAGTTGCTGTGGTCACCATCCTCTTGGAGTGCTGAACCGTGATCACGTTTCTCCTAACCAACTCCCAATCTCTGCTGCTCTCCCAGGCCCACCTAGCTCTACCCCATGCATCCCACTGGACCCTCACCTTGCTTTCATCCTGGTGGCCTTAACTGCAGTGTAGGTGAAACTTCCCAGGAGGGGGAGGGGAAGACTAGCCGCAGCCACTGGGCCAACTTCTGATCATTCCAAGTAGAAGAGCTTTACCCAACACCGTGTGACTGAACCTGTACCAGGGATCCTGTGCACCTTCCCAGGCTGGCTCCATGGTCTATGAAAGCAGCACCAGGGGGTGCCTGGGAGAGGCTGCTGACAGATGCAGGGACCCATTTAGACACTGCCTGTGCTCTAGAGATGTCTTACACAGGCAGTTAATTGTTACAAATAAACATCCAGCCTTCAACCTGCAGAATAACCAGATATCCCAGGTTTTCATTGCTATGTCTGACCTAGGGGGTGAGGGTCTGCGCGGGCGTGAGAGTTCCCTCCCTCCCCCACCAGAATACTTGGACCAAGCAGCGCTCAGGGTCCCAAATGAGCCTGAGGTGCAGCCAAAAAGCTGCAGCTGGCCACGCCCCCGGCGGTCATTGGCTGTCAGGATGCTACGGTCTCGCACAGCATCCTGGGAAGTGTGGTCCTCTTCCCCTACCCCGTCCCCTGCCCCGTGTGTTCCGAGGACGACGTCTCCGGAAGCGGGGGTTGGGGTTCGGGTGGTCAGAACCCCTCGGCGTTCCCCAGGGGCTTCGCTCGCCCTAACCTAGAGACGCACGGGGCAGGACGCCTTCGTGAGGAGACTTGCTTCATTGAGCCTGCGCGGCCTGCAGCGCGCCTGCGATCAGCGCGTCGTGGGCTCAGCAGGCCGAGCCCCTGCGGCCCTGGGACTGGCACCGGGATCCGCCGCGAGCGCGGCTGGTGTGGGGGCCGGGCCCGTGCTCACGGCCTTGGTGGCGGCCATCGCACCTTCGCAGGGCAACGGAGGTTTGGCCGTGATGCTTTCGTGCGGACTCGCTGCTTTGTCCGCTGTGGAAGTCCGCCAGGCTCCCGGAGTTTCGGCGGGGCCGCAGCCACTGATCCAGATGGGACTGGAGACGGAGATGCGGGCTGCGGTGGCTTCGGGCGAGGAGGTGGCGGTGGCCGGGACGCTCGTGGAAGCCCGGGCCGCGGTGGGGGATGACATGGGGCCCCTGAGCCAATGTCCGCGGCTGGAGCGTCCGGAGCGCCGCGCCGGCCAGGGCTGGGAAAACGCAGGGCGTTGCATCACAGAGACGTGGGCACCTGCGCCCTGCAGAGGATCGGTGTCCGGGACTGGCGCGGGAACGGGCCGGGCGCAACCAGCCCCCTTTCCTGTAGCTCTGAACTAATGCAAGTAGTAGCTGCACATCGGGTGCCCCCAAAATCTGTGCCTCCACATCCAATACTAAGATAGGTATCAACCCTTCTCAAGGTCAAGCCCAAGGGAATGGGGGGGGGGGATTCCCAGAATCTCAGTGTCTGATGCCACAACAGCAGAAACAATAAGTTTCCGTTAAGGTGAGCCTCCAGGCGCTGGAGGGACTACCTTTGATGGTTTTCAGGAGGTTTGACCTCTTAGTAGCCCTAGTGATCTCAGTGGTGTCCTGGGGTCACAAGGATAAGGAGGCCAGAACTCTTCTTGAGGGAACAGATGGCATCCCTGATTTGGATGTGCCTAGTGCCTATCTCGGCCAGAAATTGACCAGTAGAGCATTTGACTGGGATCACTTCCAAAACTTCCACTGGGTCCCGTGGTGCTACACTAATCTGGTTTTTCTTGTGTTCGTTGCCTTCTGCTGGTCCTATTCCCCCACCCCTTAACTAGATCTCTCCTTTCTACCTTCCTCTATCCCTATACCCCTATTCCTCCAGCCCAGTCTAGGAAGCCACCACTGTTTACAGGTGGGAAGGAACATGGCATTCTCAATCCTTCAGTAACACCCTTTCCCTAAGCTCCTCAAAACAAGATGCCCACTCTCTGTGCTCTGCTCCCTCCCCGATTTCTTTAATCTCCTCTAAGCTCACACCTGACTGTGTGCCCCATTTATCCCGGCCTCACTTCTGACCTTTCCACAGGACTGTGTCTCCTGAGACAACCCCACAAATACACACTTGAGTCACTTCCTCCTGAGTTATACCTGGCCCTCTGCTGTGGCAGCATCATCACTGGGTCCACAACCTCTTCTGCTAAGACTGAACCAACCCCTGTGCTCTGGTGCCTGCAGTCTCCCTGGAGTTCCCTCTCTTTCCTGAGGAAGACTCCAGCTCTGATGTAGCTCAGTGTCCTCAAAGGTGGAGCCCTAGGGGTGTGGAGAAGCCTTCATTACTCATCTTTCCATAAGAAGCAGGTCCCTTCTCTCACCTGCTGCACCTTCCCACCTCCCTTTCTAGGTGGGGAAAGAAAAAGGAGACAGCCTGCAATGGGATCAAGGTCAGAGAGGCTCAGAACACACTTTCCTGCTTAGAAAAAGTCCCCAAGAGAGAGGCTGAGCCAAGTGATAGGCTAGAGCCAGGCAGCCACTCGGGGCCACAGTCAGGCTCAGGAGACAGCTCTGAAGCAGGCTTGGCATTGAAGACTGCTTGGAGCAGCCCCAAATAGCCCAGACAATGTGGAGCCCAGGCTAGGCCCAGGCAGGCCCAGCCCTGAGGAAGAAAGGTTTGTCTGGTGCAATACCTGTTTGCAGAATGCCTAGCTGGTCTGGCTTTCCTCACTGGCTTCCTTGTATCTTGGGCAAGTGGCAGCCCTTCCCCAAACTCAGCCTCTCCACAGGATCTATGGACAGGGAAAGGACAAGACAAGTCTCAGTCCAGGGAAGGAGCTGAGTCTGGACCCAGGACACCAGGAGAGGAGGCACCAAGGGGGTGGGGGTGGGGTGACGAGCCCGCGAGGCCACCCTGGGCCAAACAGCTGGGCCTGAGTTGCCAGAAATTTGTCCCCATACACTAGTGTTGGAACTAGGTACCAGTGAGAGTGGTTCCATCCTGTCACCAGGTCATGAGATTTCTCCCTGTCCTGCAAGGGTAAGGGTGTGTGTGTGTGTAGGTCTGAGACTGGAACTAGAACTCAGTACCTGTCACTTTTGCTCATTGGCAAGTGCTCTACCAACTGAGTCACTCCTCCAACCCCAAAAATGTGGATTTTGGTAAACTCTATAAAGCTGCCGAACTTGCACAAGCACTGGACAGGGACCCTAGAGGCCACAGGTTAAAGGGTGGGCCTGGAACTGCATCTAGCTTAGCGGTCACTCATGAACTGCCTCTGGGAGGGCAAACTGGGCTTGTTAGAGGCTGGACGGAGAAGACAAAGAACACCTGGGAAATCTTATTCCCTTTATTCTCTTCAACTAATCAACATGACCACCGGTGACACGACACTTATCGACACATAACACTCAAAAGTGGGGCCTCTCCACTTCCCTGGGGGACAAGTCAGGTGAGCAGGAGTTCCCTTGTTATAAGAGCAAAGGAGTCTGGGAACTGCTCACCTCAGGGGGAGTGCCACAGGAACCCCCATCTCAGGGTTATGATGGTTTCAAGTTTCCCCCATTCAGGATTCACACCCAGTTCCCATCTGACCTCCTCATCCACAGCAGCTTCAAGTTGCACCCTAAGCGGAGATCAATTTGTCCCTCCTTCCCTCTGCTTTCACCAATGGCTCTGCTACTGGCTGTGGGGATCCTCCCGCCCCCACCCCTACCCCCCCCCAGCACTTGGGGCCCAGCCCAGAGGTGGGGAGGAGGGTTTGACTACATTCATTACACCTTGCAGACTCGGTTCTCTTGGTTCTGTGCCTGAACTGGTCGGATGGACAGATGCTGGGCGCCACAACCTGCTCAGTGCGGATCCTCCTAACATACAGCTGGCTCTGGGAAGTAGGCAGCCAAGAGGGCAGGCTTCACTCAGGGTCCCCCATTCTGTTTCCTAGTAGGAAGCCCCAGATCCCACCAGCCTTGTCTACATGGTTCATTTGGCACCGGGGTCGACCTTCAGCTGTCACCTGTCCCCACAACATGCGAGCATCCTACTAAGTACGCTACACTCTAGTTCTCAACAGGCTACAGTCTCCTCGACTACACTGACCACCTTCCCCCAGACTGGCCTCTGAACCCCAAAAGCTGTTCCCCAAGCACGCTTTTGGGAACAGATTCTCAGACTTCTATCTGAGGGAATCTGCTTCTAGCTTTAAATTTGTCTCTACAACTTGACTTCTGTTACCATCTTAGAGGGCTTATAGGCTTAGACTCAGAGGACTTTCTCCTCTTTGTCTTAGGGACTGTCCCCCATTTGTTGACCTTTGTCAATCTGGAGACCCGCAGGCAGGGCTCCCTCCCGCGGTGGTGGGCTTTTACCTGGCACTTGGGTAAGTGGGGGCTTTTTGTGACTGCGATCAAGGCTCCCCTTTCCCCACAGCCATAGAAGGCCTGCCTCGCCTCCCCAGCAGGCTGGGTGGGGAGGGGGTGGTTCTCCCACATTGTTCTAGATTCAATCCTTTGGGGGGCAGGATAGATGAAAGGATGAAGGATTTTTCGCCTTTAGAACCTTTACGTAATGGAATTAGAGGTTTCTCCTCCACACAACTTTGCAGGAATGTTAGGGCATCCCTTTTCTGGGTACCCATCTCCTGAAGGGCCCCTCACCTGGCATCTTGATCCTATTATTCCAAGACAGTGTGTCACTGGTGTCAACATGGAGTCAGGGAGCAGCACTTCCTCTCTGCCCCATCTTGAAGGGACTCCAGGGCTGGGGGTGGATAGGCTCCTTGCTGCAGCTGTTTCTTGCCAAAAATTTCACCCATTCCACCTGGTGATCATCTCTCCTTGGTCATAAGCTGCAGTCACGTGAGCAGGCTTGGCTGAATTTCTGAAGTGTGTCACACTGAGTGGCGTGAAGACAGATGAGCCTGGCAGGACCGCGTTTCTCCTCATCCATTTCCCTCTGAAGGTTTCAGGCTAAGAGAGGAGCTAAGGGGATGGAATTTGTCCCTTCCCAAGGCCAAGATGGAGCTGGGTCATTCCCGTCTCCGACAGGCTCAAGTACTGGATGGGGAAGGTGGCTAGGCTTCCGTTGGACTCTTGAGGGACTCTGGTCCAGTCGGAGAGTTGGCTCATCCTTGCCACATGAAAGGCTGAGGTGGGAAATCAGGTTGCTGGTCAATCAAAACTTTCTGTTCTGCCATCTTGTTGTCCCTTGTTGGCCACAGAGAAGTCAGGGAGGACAAGCCTGCAACAAGCCTTGAGTCTCTGAAGGAATTTATTCTTTGGAGGTCGACTAGCAGCGATTCTCCCTCTCTATTGAGGACAGCACTTGGAGGAAATTTGCTGCCACTGAAGCAAGTATGGTGGCAGTTAGATTGCAGGGAGGAAAAACAAAACAAAACAAAAAACCCCAAAACCAAAAACCTGATCGTGAGACCTGAGATTGTGAGGGAGGCCCCCTTCATGGTGGAGGCCTCTCAGAGTAGACATTTCCAGCTGTGCTGGGGAAAAGGTGACTCCACTCAGCTCGTGAGAGTCTGGGGCGGGATCTGCTTGCACTTGAAGTTTAACAAGCTCCCAAGGAAGGGAAGAAACTGGCCTGGAGTTCGCTGGGTTCCAACTGAACCGTTTCTCCACCTTGCTCTGTGTCCCTCCAAACACTAACGGAAATTCCTCCTATTTTTATTTTATTTATTTTTGGTGGTGGTAGTTTTCCACTATTCCTACACTGTTTCTTTTTACTGCATTCCAAACTTCAGCCCTTAAAAAGGCTTGAGATCATTGCCTGCCTTCCCCATTTTTGGGCTCTTGTGGATTCCCAGATTCCATGGGTCTCTTCCCCACACACAGTTCCCCTAAGATTAACCTCTTGTATCCCAAAGAACCCCCCCCCAGTGTAACGGGATGAATTAGCCCTTTCCTGGTCGCTGTGGTTTAGCTCCTCTGTGGGCTTGAAAGCTCCTCATTTGTCATCTTCCAGTTCCACCCATTCCTACACTATCCCCCAGCTGAGCTTTGTCTTCAGTATAAGTGTCCAAGGTGGCTGGGAGAAGTGGAGCAGGTGTAGGGAGGGTGTAACCCTATGCATTCTGGGAGTTACCCTCTCAAGTCAATGCCAGCTGTACCACCCTGGCCCAATAGGATCTGGATACGGTTTTATGGAGTTCGTCTAGAGACATATTAGGACCTCTTCCTACAATTAATAGGGCTTTTGTCCACTATGGTTTATAGGGTTTTTCTGCTACAGACTTAAAGGACTTTATTTTCCTACATAGGTATAGGGTTTCTAACCCAACAGTTTTTCTCTACTGCCTTACAAGTGATTCCCACGGACAATTTTATAAGGATTTCTCATCACTGGTGTAAAAGCACTATTTTCCCCCAGGGTTCTTTCCCTCCCGCTTCTCTACAGAAAGATCGGGTTGTCCTCCTTCCCCCCACTTGTTATTTGCGTGTGTGGGGTGGTGTGTGGGGTGGGGAGAGTGGGGGAAATCCAGTGTTCCTCTCTCTAGAGAGAGGCCCCTGGTCTCTAAATCCATCTCACAGGGAGACACCCGGGTGACAGCTCCCGTGGAGGAGGAGGGCGGCCACTTCTGTGAAGCCGTCTCCACACTCCGGGCACACATAGGGCTTCTCTTCCAAGGGGGCTTTGGGGCTCTCCCCTTCCCCGTGGCTGCTGCTCGGGGCGGGGGCGGGGGCCCCTCCCTCCGCTGCCTGGCTTGTGGCTAGGCTGGCTGGCTCGGGCAGGGGGTCCTCGGACCTGGGGGGCTTTTCTTGGGTGTGGGTTTCCTGGTGGCGGAGGAGGGCCAGGCGATCGAGGAAGGAGGCCCCGCAGTCGGAGCAGCTGTAGGGTCGGGCCCCGAGAGGGCTCCTGAGGTGCTCCAGGAGGACGGAGGAGCTCTTCCCCACCTCGGGGTTCTTCTGGGACTTCCGGCCCGCGTGGACTTTCTGGTGCTGGAGCAGCTCTGAGCTGAGGCCAAAGCTCTTTTTGCACTCTGGGCATTTAAAGGGCTTTCTGCCGAGGAAGGGGCTGGGCCCGGACCCTTCCCCGGGGCCGGTCCTCCCCACGCCGCCGCCGTGCGTGAGCTGGTGTTGGAGGAACGCCGCGCGGTCCGGGAAGCTTTCGCCACAGTGCGAACAGATGTAGGACTTGGAGGCCAGCAGCCCCCCCAGCCTGTGGCCCAGGCCTTCCTGAGCCTCGGACGCTTTCAAGGGCGGTCCCGGGGGGTCCGCTCGGCCCTCTGCCGCCCCGGGGTGGGAGTTGCCTCCGAAAGGGAGCCTCGGGGGGCGGAGCTGGGGGGGCTTGGGGGCGGGGGGCGCGGGGAGGCCGTCGGCGTTCTTGTAGGGGTTCTCGCCGATGTGGATCCGCTGGTGCTGCATGAAGATGCCCTCGTCGTTGAAGCCCTTGCCACACACCAGACACTTGTGCGGCTTGGCTCCGGGCGGCGGGGTGAGCAGGGCGGGGTCCCCGAGGCCCAGCAGGGCGTCGCCCTGGGCTCTCCGCGCGGGGGCCTTGCCCCGCTCGTGGATCACCCGGTGCTGCTCGAGCTCGTGGGCCTCCAGGAAGGCCTTGCCGCAGTCGGAGCACACGAAGAGGTTCTCGTCCATGTGCGTGCGCACGTGCGTGATGAGGTTGGAGCTCTGGCTGAAGCTCTTGCCGCACTCGGGGCACTTGTAGGGCTTCTCGCCGGTGTGCGTGCGCCGGTGCTGGATGAGGTGCGAGCTGCGGATGAAGCTCTTGCCGCAGTCGGAGCACTTGTAGGGCTTCTCGCCGGTGTGGATGCGCTGGTGGCGGATGAGCGTGGAGCTCATGATGAAGCTCTTGCCGCAGTCGGCGCAGATGTAGGGCCGCTCGCCGCGGTGGATGCGCTGGTGGTTGATGAGGTTGGAGCTGACGCTGAAGCTCTTGCCGCACTCGGGGCACTTGTAGGGCCGCTCGCCCGTGTGCGTGCGCTGGTGGCGCAGCAGCGTGGCGCTCAGCGTGAAGGTCTTGCCGCACACGGGGCACTTGAAGGGGTCCTCGCGCAGGTGCGTGCGCTGGTGCTTGATGAGCGTGGAGCTGTGGCCGAAGCTCTTGCCGCACTCGAGGCACTCGTAGGGCTTCTCGCCGGTGTGCGTGCGCTGGTGCTGCGTGAGCTCCGAGCTCTGGATGAAGCTCTTGCCGCACTCGGTGCAGCGGTACGGCTTCTCGCCGGCGTGGATCTTCTGGTGCTTGAGCAGGTTGTGGTTCTGGCCGAAGCGTTTGCCGCACTCGGGGCACTTGTAGGGCTTCTCGCCCGTGTGCGTGGCCTGGTGCTGGATGAGGTCGGAGCTGCGGTAGAAGGCGCGCCGGCACTCGCCGCACTTGTAGGGCTTCTCGCCCGTGTGCGAGCGCTGGTGCTTGATGAGGTTGGTGCTCTGCGTGAACGCCTTCTCGCACTCGGTGCACTTGTAGGGCTTCTCGCCCGTGTGCGTGCGCTGGTGCTGCACCAGGTTCGAGCTCCAGCTGAAGCACTTGCCGCAGTCGGGGCACTTGTAGGGCTTCTCGCCCGTGTGCGTGCGCTGGTGCTGCACCAGGTGCGAGCTCTGCGTGAAGCTCTTGCCGCACTCGGAGCACGTGTTGGGCCTCTCGCCCGTGTGGATGCGCTGGTGCCGCAGCAGCTTGGACCACTGGCTGAAGCTCTTCCCGCACTCGTTACAGATGTACGGCTTCTCCGCCCCGGCCGGCCGGCCCTGCACCAGCTCCCGCAGACTGGGCTCGCTGGCGGGGACCACGGGGGGGCTGTTCCACGGGGTGAGCGTCCCCCACTGCCAACTGGCCTCGCAGGCCTTGGTCCACTCGGATGGGGGAGGCACTGCCTCCGGGGCTGGGGGGTCGCCAGGGGTCTGGTGGTCTAAGGGGGTGGGGGAATCCCGGGGGGCTGGTGGGTCCTTGGGTTCTGGACTCTGAGCTGGATCTCCCAGGATGATCTCCTCCCCAGCACTTCCCCGCCGAGGGCTGTCCTCTTCATTCCCACTCTCGGCACCTACAGACAGAAAGGGAGTCTCCAGCCCCCGGCTTCTTTCAGAACCCGGGCTCTGGCCTCTCTTCCCTCCCCTGCCATTTTTTTCCCCCAGAGTCTGGGCCCCTCCCTGAACGGGGATCCGTCGGTGTCTCTCAGGACTAGCAGTCCCTGCTCTTGGCCCTCACCTCTGTGAGCCTCATCTGGACTCTCTTCAGGAGCCTCCAGATCCGGGCCCCACAGCACTGTCTCGGGCTCCATCCCACAGCTCAGGACTGCGAAGGCTTCAGGGACCCTAGGGGAAGAGAGAGGTGGGCACAGGGTGGGAGATGATTCTATTTATTCCTCTGAGCCTCACTGTATCCGTTATGCCTTCTTCGACAAACCAGAAAAAAATGAGCGAAGCCAGAGGTCGGTGGCTCACACCTGTAATCCTGGCTACTCAAGAGGCTGAGATCTGAGGATGGAGGTACCAAGCCAGCCAGGGCAGAAAAGTCTGTGAATCTCTTATCTCCAGGTAACCAGTAAAAAACCACAAGTAGTGTCATGGCTCAAGTGGTAAGAGTACTAGCTTTGAGTGGAAAAACTGAGAGCCCAAAATCCTCAACTCAAGCCCAAGAGAGAGAGGGGAGAGAAGGGGGGGAGGGAGAGGAGCACTGGTTTTTCACTGTGACCTCTTTCACCCTGTAGGCCTGATTGCTTCTCCAGATCTTAAGATCACAACTAAGCAAGTCAATGAATTTAAGAGTGCAATTAAAAACTCATCAGTCATAACCCTTTGAACCCAGACTGGGGGCTTAGAGAAAATCTAGCACTTACAATGAAGAGAGGTTCTCACCCCATACCTCCAATGCCCAGAGGCTGAGAAACCTGTTATTTTGCAAATTAGAGGAAGCTCATTAAAGCACCAATTTTCCTCCTTAATGGGGCTGCTAATTGAGACCAATAAACTTTCCCCTTACAAGCCCCAGAGAGAACTGAGGCTGAAACTAAAGGGTTAAAGAAACTATCCTCTCCCACCTCCCCACCCCCAATTTCCCAGAGGGAACAGGAGTGCATCAAAATGACTGGGCCTGGGCATTCAACCATTATCTAAGTGCAGAAAGAGTCAGGCTAGAGGTTGGGGCAGGGAGGTTTAAAGTGAGGGGCCTCAGGAGCCTCTGGGGAGGGAAGCAGAAAGGAGGGAGAGGTGGACAATTGTGGAGGACACTTGCAGGGCACAGGGCGCCTGCTGACAAGCCCCCATTTCTCTCACCCAGTCTTCCCAGGAGCAACCCCGTGAGGAGGCTCAGGACCCAGGCTGTCCATTGTACAGATTAGTAAACGGAAGGACTTCTCCAAGGTTCCAGGCTGGGAGGCCGCAGTGCTAGGACCACAAATGCAGGGCTCTGTACGGCTTAGTCTGCCCCCTTCTCTGAGAACAGGAGGTGACCTTGGGAGTCATGTGAGCCTCAGACTCACAGGGCTGCTGGCAGGAGCCAGAGGATGGGGACGAGCAAAACTCTGGCCCTGAGAATGGGTTGGAGAAATTCCTGGGAGGAGAGTTCCCTTGGCTAGAAAAGGAGGAGCTGGACTCAGTGACAAAGGCCTGATAATCTGAGTCTGTGATAATGGAGCTCAGACTGAAGCCATTGAAGCCACCATTACCAACACCCTGGGAACCTTCATTCCTCTCTCTCTCTCTTTCCATTTTAATGCCTAGGACAGCACCGAACACATCATAAATGCTCAGTAAACATTTGCCCGAGATGAAATGAATGAGCTCCATGCACCCTTACTCCTGGAAAACCTGCTGTGAGGTTCAATGCCTTTAAGAAATAATTGCCAAAGGATTGTCAGCAAAGGAACCCAAGTTCGCAGTGACCAGCGCACTCCCTGGGGAAAACACAGCCAGCTGTCACTGCCTGAAAGCCGTGAGAAGATTCCAGGATGAGAGACGGAGGCCCAATAGCAGAGTGCCTGGAGGAAGACTTCTCCCAACACCTAGACCCTCGAGGAGTGACCTACATCCACCACGTGGGCAGGGCAGGGCAGGGGGCACCTAGGTGCACGGATGGGCAGCGCGGGCACAGACAGACAATGGTGCACAGGAGGACCCAAGGAGGCAGGTGGAGGAGCCGGCGGGAGGAGCAGCAGGAGAGACAGCAGTTAGCTCTGAGGAAGTCAATCCATTTCTTCATAGGGGTAGCAGCTTGACCTCGGAGACACCTCCCCTCCCCGACCTGCCAGGGACTTTGGGGAGGTGGAGGCAGGACGCGCTGAGGAGGCCGGGAAGGGTGGACGGGACGGGCGAGCGCTCTGCCAGATCCACCACTCGTTGGTCCCGAGTGGGAAGGCGAAGGGTTAATGGCCAGGCCACATGG